GATATTTTTACTTGAAATATTAAAAATAAATGCGGCGAATTGATTCACGTTTTTTTTACTACTTCTTTATAGTAACTACAAGGACAAAAATAAATTAATTTGGTTATTTTTAAAATTCTTTTTAGTATTGTTCATGTGGTTTAATTAGTGAGATCGCTTCTAAATTTTTATAATTGTTGTTATCTTTTACTTAAGAAAGGCATGCAAAAGTATTTTAACGGAATTAGGTACACATAATCTATCTATGTCATATAATTAGATACAAATATAAAATGTGTACACGTTAAAGAAGTTCCAAGACTATGACACAAATATTGTTAAATTCAATTGCAGTACAATATTTCATGAGGGTAACATGTACTTGATTAGTATTTATTAGGTTGTGTGAAATTTGTTCATATATCTACTAGAAAATGTAGTTGCTTGAATATTTTTCCTTAATTTATAAATAAGAGAGAATGTTTGTTTGGCTGAGGTTTATGGTTGGTCTTATTTCCTTTATTGATTAATGCTAACTATAAAAATTTGATATGCTTTGATCCAAAGATCAATCAAAGTCGAGTGCACTCTATCTACAATACTTAGTATAGAAAACTATATATGTTCTTCATGTTAAAACCAATATTTTTTTTTATTTAAGGTTTTATCACATCGTGGTGGTTCGGCTTCACTGATTTTCCTTCTATTCTTGGAGATTTTGAAAATATTTTGCATAAAAGATATTTAATTTCATAGGTAGGTAATTAATATCAATATTTACAACTAAAATTTAATATACCATTTTGAAAATGAAACATAAGTACTTCAAAATCACTATTTGAATTCTAGGTAAACACTAAATAAAGAACAATATATAATTTAAAATATTATTGTAATAAATGCATACAATTAGCTAATAAACTAAGCTTATATATTTATTTACTATTAACTATTATAATTTGCCAGGATGCTAAATGTACTAAAATTCTCTTATATAAATTTTATAATATCATTTTATAATAGATTGAATTTTGAAATTGTGCTACAAATCTATTTTATGATTACACATATCAATTAAATATGGATCGCGCGAATACGTATACTACTTTTATTAAAAAATGAGGCTGTAAGGATTCGATCCCAAGTCTTCACGCGAAAAAGTAATTGACTTAACTATCTGAACTGCAACACATTACTGTCACTTTGTACTATATTATATCTATTATCCGTTTCAAAAAGAATGATCCCCTTTCCTTTTTAGTTTGTTTAAAAAAGAATAACCTCTTTCCTTTTTTGGTAACATTTTACTTTCAACTTTTCACGTGGCATGTTTAAGACCACAAGATTAAAGGGCAATTTTGTACATTTGACATAACTTTAATTTAGAGCCACAAGATTCAAAAATCTTCTTTATTTTCTTAAACTCCGTGCCAAGTCAAACTAAGCCACTCTTTGTGAAACGGAGGGAATATTTTTTTATTTTAATTTATGTGACGTAGATAGAATTTAGAAACTTAATTAAATTTTAATATAATTTTTAGATATTTTAAGTTGTTAATTACTTTTTGTTTGCGCAAATTTAATGTGAAGATGTCCACAATCAAAACATTTTCGTCATCGATCGTTGATTTTTTACTCAAAGTAGTTATAAGATATAAACAAATATGACCGACATACAAAATAATAAAGCTATAACTAAAGAATATGAATTTAAAACTAAAAGTCATAGCTAAAACGGATCTCATAATTTCGAAAATATTATACACTATTTAAATTAAAGTAGAACAAAAGAAACAATTTTCTAATTTTTTTCCGTAACATGCTGAAGCAGGCACGTCGATGGAGACGCAACTGCTTCAGCGTGAACTCTCTCTTATATAATAAAAGAATATTTGTATTTTTTTAGCTGTCTTTGAATTTTATATATATATATATATATATATATATATATATATATATATATATATATATATATCAAATTTTTCCGACGAAGTCATGTAATGTAACACCCCTTGAGTCTTAGTAGATCCGCCCTTAGATACATAACCTCAACTATTTCAAACCTAAATTAGTATGGACTTGCTTTATAGTTTACTATATATCAGGTAAAGGCACAGTGTATCCGCGAGTTCTAAAAAAATTAAAATTAGGTATAATTTGCACTTATTATAATGCGGCTGGTAATTGCTTTCATCAACCAAGGTCTAAAGCAATTTTCTTTTTTTATTTATTTTTAAACTTAGAATATAAAATATATTTTATACATATATTATTTATTTGATACAATTCAATATGTTTTTAGTTAATTTTAGGGATAAGAGTCTGAAAAATATTTCAACTTTGGTCGAATTTGTTGTTGCGATATTAAACTTTCATGAGGATCTATTACCTCCCTAGACTATTTAATAGTGTATTTTTTTTAGAGAAAATTTTACATATAGCAAATAAAAAATTGCTAATTGTATGCTATAGCAAACTTTGTAAAATTGCAGTCCGTAGCAAAATTATAGTTTGCTATGGACTTGTCTTTCTGTATATTCGCTTGTCATTTTATTTTTTTATACATTTTGATAGTTTAAAAAAGAAAAGGGCGTTAATTTCGGTTAGAAAAAAAGGAAAAAAATCACTGAAGTCACGCACGTTCTGTTCCATTCGAATTCCCTTCCTTCTTCGTCGTCTTCAACAGTAAGAACTCCATTGTAACTCAATTCAAAAAATTGATCAAGCAATTGACGGTACTACACAAAATAATCGAGATCATTGGACTGTAGAGATAACAATAGGAGGTAATTTCATGACAAAAGCATACTCTGATTTTGCTTTTTTAGGTCAAAGATGGTGTTCAACATGTATTCAAAATCAGATTTCCTTTTTAACTGTCATCAATTTAAGTTGAATGTATATTGAGAGGTGTATATTTTGTTCGAAATAGAGTTTAACACTTATGATTTGTATAGTTAATTTGTAATCTAGAAAAAATTGTGATCTGGAAATTTTCTGGATGAACTTGTTGATTATTTTGAATTTGTGATTGGAGATTCGCTCATTTCACAGTAATATTTGTGTTCGGATTTGTATATTTGCTTAGAGTTTATACGTATAGATTTTCAGATATGATTCAGTAAGATATGTATGATACATATATGAAACTATTATGTGTATGTTTTATACAGTGCATCTTCATCATGATTTTGGATATATGATTGTTATACAAATGCAAAAATTTGTACTCTGTGAAAGTAACAATAACACTGCACTTGTATGAAATTGTATAATTGTGTATAAAGTTATAATTTGTGTATATAATTATTTATATATAAATGTATATGCAGAATGTGTATATAAATGTTTCTATGAGTATGTAATTGGAATATGTATATATGTGAATAACTGAAGTTGCTAGAATTTGTATAAATATACGTTATGTTTGTTGTTGAAGTTCTTAATAGTATAAATGTATATGTATAGATAACTTTTTTTTAATACAGAAATTTTGAAAATGGCTTCATTAGCTATTTTGGTTATGCATTCCGGTAGATGGGACAATGACAATTGTTACGTTGATTATACAATTGAGGGGTGATTTTTAAAGAAAGTTCATCGTATAAGGAGTTGTATAATGTTATTGCAATGCAACTCGGTGTTGATACAAATGTGATTAAGTTGAAAATTGAGTATAAGGTTAAAGAAAGCAAAACGCCAATGTTGATTCACAACGACATGGGTGTTAGAGTGTATATCATGCTTAAAAAGGCTGCAGATGACTTCAACAAGTATCTAATTTGTATAAGCAAAATGGATAATAGTAGCAATATCACTGAACTGTGTGAAAGTTCAAATCAAGAGAATGATATAGTTACATCAATTTGTAATGATGGTATTGCTGATTTTGAGACTATGCAGCTGTCAATTGGTGAATTGGTAGAGCCGTTTTGTGTCTTGGGGTCAGGGAGCTGCGATGGAGTCATTTCAGATCCTTGTACTAAGTACGTGGAGATTGACCAAGTGTATAAGAACAAAGCCACTTTGAAATCTGTGATGGAAAATTATGCAATTGAAAATAGATTTCAATATAGAACTGTGAGGTCAAATGCAATCAGGTAACTAGTTTATACAACAAATACTTTAGTGTATATGGTGTTTTAGTTATTTGTTTATTGATATGTTGTGCTGTATTTGCTGATGTAGTTATACGCTGGAATGTATTTTTGATGAATGTGAGTGGTTGATGAAAGCATCAAATATCAGCAAGTTTGGAATGTTTAGGATTCGAGCAACTCTGTATGGATTATGAACTGATGTGAAAAATAGCTTGAAAAAACTGAAAAAAAAATAGACAAAAATTTAAAGTAATCGATTGAGATAAGTTTTGGCGGTACCTGAAATTTTTGAAGGGATTTTGAAACCGCGATTGAGAACGTGTTGGTGGAGATTTGAAATTTCAAACTAATTTTGGGGAGAAAATTTGGGAGAAATTGAAGGAAATAAGAGATATAAACGAGAAGAAGATATTGTATAAAAGGAAGAGAATAACGTCAATTTTTTTTTTATACTTATACAAATCGGTGGGGCCTATTAATAGCAAACTGACCGAGACTTTGCTCCTTAAAGGAAATAAATGAAACAGTAGCTACTGTATTTATTTTACATTAAAAGTTTGTCATTATGTACAATTATCCCTTTTTTTTACCCCTGAACTATTTAATAGTGTATTTTAAAGGTATATATATGCCCACGTGGACACATTACTATTTATAATTTTGCATAATTTTTTATGTCCATGTGGGCAAATATATATGTTTAAAATACAGTATTAAATAGTCTAGGAAGGTAATAGGTCCTCATAAAAGTTTAGTATCATAACAACAAATTCAATCAAAGTTGGGGTATTTTCAGACCCTTATCCTTAATTTTATAAAATACCTAATTATTCAATATGATTATAATTTTTTTTTTTTTTATAAAAGTCATCAAATTTTATTTCAAAAACCTTAAAAATTAATTCAATTTTAAAAATCATTGATACCTTGTGTGCCAAAAGTGAGTGGAACTCAAAACCCTCGTTAAGCCCCTCAGCTCCACTCTCGCGCACACACAATCACATTGGAGTACAAAAATGTTGATCCGGCGCATTGTGCTGACCAAATCTCTCCACCATTTCCGTTTGTTGAGCAACTATGCCACCGCCGCCGCCGCTGTTGTTCCAGATGTAGATGATGATTTCCCAAAGCCCGACCCCAAATACGCAGAAACTATTCATGCCGTTGTTCGTGTCACTTCCGGCAAGAACATCGCCGCCAAAGAGAGGAAAGCTGGGAGGGTACCCAGTATAGTGTTTGAACAAGAGGATGGACAACATGGTGGTAACAAAAGACTCATATCGGTTCAGGCTAATCAGATAAGGAAGCTTGTTAACCATCTTGGTCGGTCTCAGTTCTTGTCCAGGTTGTTTGATCTTGAGGTTCATCCTGACTTGGAATCTCAAGACGTTATTGAGAAGGTTCGAGTTCTGCCCAGAAAGGTATTTGCCTCTGTTTATTAGATTTAGTTACTTTGAATTGATCTGAAGATAGATACTGGCTTTCAATTCATATATGCTTATAAGTAGGGATGACAAAATCAAACCCAACCCGCCCAATTGCTATCCCTACTTATAAGAGTAAGCGGTTTCTTAAAAGCTTATCTCTTTTAGATTCTTAAGTATAGGTGTGGATATTAATGCTTCCATATTGTCGGACAAGCTTATGGTTTGGGACATTTTAAGGTATTGGCTCACTTTGTTAGTATGTGAATTGAGTGGAAAATAGATTTGGTTCGGGAAGAACGTGTTTTTCCAACTCCGGGAAAGGATTCATCTAAATTAATTTTAGCTTCATGCCTTTTACTTTGCTTGTTTCTGAGTAAGCAGCAAGTGACAGCTTATCAGTCCCCTAACCTTTGGGACTCGTCAATAATACTTCTGATCTGGATAATGTTAGCTTTGATGCTGGTTGCACTGTTATACTACACTAGTTTTAGGGTACTGGTTATGGATTCACACATTTCTTTCTGATAATGATAGAAACTGAGTCAGAGTGCGCAAATTGACATTTCACGAGTTACATTGAGTAACTGCTACCTGTCACTAGCACAGTTACCTAGTAACTCTTGACCAAGGGTTCAGGCAGATGAGAAGAATCACATTGTGGTTTTTTGTTGCTGATGGGATTTGAACCTACTTTCCCTGGATTTTCACTCACTTCAATTATCGCCAGGCCACACACTAGGATTTGAACACAGTTTCACACACTCATAGGGAAAAAGGTTGAAAATCTTGAGTTGATATGTGCTTGAACAAAGCTAGGTTCTAAAAGATTTGGTGGATTAAATGCTTAGAAATAGGAGTTGATATTAGTTCTCATAGTGCTGTTGGCAAACACTGGTTGTGATGTCCCATAAAGTAAGCAGCCACAACTGTGAAGGCACACTTACGAAATAGCTTGCGAAACTTCCTATGTGGAAGAATAATATTCACATTTAGGGTTTAATGATGATTAATGGACTGTTCTTTTCACAAGTCTTGTGAGTTGTGACATTCTAAACCAGAATGATGGAAAAAAATTGTCGCCACAGTGAGGTATATCGAACAGCGTACTGAGGTATGTGGTGTAAGGGGTTGAAACTCATGGAACTTCTTAACTCAGCTCAGAAGGAAGACCTATAACTGCTTAACTCGGTTCAAAAGAAAGACCTTTTGTAGAATTATGAAGCTGTTGGAGCCAAACAGAGCTTTAGATGGCTTTTAGCAGGGCGATGTGCTGATTTATCTATTTCAATGTTCAGGTTCATCTAGAAGCTGGTTCAGATGCGCCTCTTAATGTTACCTTTATAAGAGCCCCATCAAGTGCTTTATTAAAGGTTGAGGTTCCTCTTGTATTTAGAGGAGAGGATGTGTCCCCCGGTTTGAAGAAAGGTCAGTACTAGATACATCTGCCTTTTCCTCTTTGTAACTTGCTAAAAGATGCTTATCTTTGTGAAGTCTATATATTTATTTACTATGCTGGTTTCCACGGGGATGTATTGAAACTAGCTTATCATATGTTACACTTGCATCAGTTCTTTATCCAGAAGCATAACGTCTGGTTTTCTTGAATTCATTCAATGCAAATATTTTATGGTTGTGATGGACCTAGAAGTTTCTCAAGGTAGAGTACCCAAGGGTGTAGTCTAGCTGTTTAAATTGGAATGAGCTATGGAAGACTAGGGTTCAAATCCCAAATTAGGTCAAACATGCTGGTGATTTCTCGCTATTTGTCCAAGTCTTGGTGAGCGGAGGCAAGAAAACCCTACTTATGTGCCATTAACCAGCACTGATAGTTACCCAATAGATTGAATGTATTGTCTGTTGAAACCATCTTTGATTAGATCCTATCATTTTAGTATTCAGGACGAAGTTCTAGTTAGCACAATCTTAGGCCTTCACTATGTCAAATGTCAAGTTTTCTTACACCTCCAGGTCCTCCTTGCCCTAGTTTAATTATTACCTTCTTTAGTCTTTCAGCGAGTGATTTTGAAATCCTTTATAGCACTTTCTACCAAACAGATCAGCTTGGGATCTCTTCATTCAGTCATCCCTTTCTTTGAGCACTAAGAGGTCGTTTGGTAGGATGCATTGGAAAAAATAATGCATGCATTAACTTTGTGTATTACTACAAATTTTAAAGAATAGGCACCTATCCACTAAAAGAAGTTTAGAATAGAAAATGATATTTCATCTAAACTTAAAGTTAAGTTGGCCATAAATATTTTCAATTAGAGTTGGGCAAGTCGAACTTTAGACCCGTGTATTTTGAAGTACCTTGTTTGGTACACTTTTACAACAATATAACTAACACAAGCATTAGTTATATACTCTATTTGGTATGATGCTATTTGTGCATAACTAATACATGACAAACTTTGGTATTGTTACTCCAAAAAAACATGGCTAACTTTGGTATTGTTCCTCAAGAAAAGCATGGCAAACCTTGGTAATGTTCCAAAAAAAAACATGACAAACCTTGGTATTATCAATGCAAGGGTTTTTAATGGATCCATTAAGATGTCTAAAGAGACAATTACCCCTCAAAACCTTTTCCACATCCCTTTCACCATATTTGTGGAGGGAATTTTTGTAAACAAATAACTTTTTTTTTTTAGAAATTATGTAATGCATGTTAATTTTAATACACCAAACCAAACAATGCATCTGATGTAATCTTAGCATAACTAATGCCAACATTACTGATATACCCTATTCAACACTATTTTTATACACCCAAGAAACGACCACTAAGGTAATTAGAGTGGTGAAGCAGAAATTATGCAATGCATGTTATTTTTAATACACCAAACCAAACAATGCATTAGAAATAATCTCAGCATAACTAATGACAACATTACTAATACACTCTATTCAACACTATCCTTATACACTCTACAAAATGACCACTAAGGTAATTAGAGTGGTGAAGCAGAAATTATGCGATGCATCTTATTTTAATACACCAAACCAAACGATGCATCAAAAATAATCTCAGCATAACTAATGTCAACATTACTAAATACACCCTATTCAACACTATACATATACACCCTATGAAATGACCACTAAGGTAATTAGAGTGGTGAAGCTCTTCTCAAATCTTCCTTCCGGATAGAATTGGTAGAAGTTTAGAGCATCCCATTTCTAAACATTCTGCGATTTTTTTTTGGTGAAAAGCTATAGTAAAGCCAAGGTTGATCTCCAGCACTATCATTTATTGTTCAGTCATGTCTTCCTCTCTTCTCTGGAAAAGGCCTTTACAGCCATTTGCTGTCATCTTTTTTGAGATAAAGGTAACTGTGTATTCACATTAGGCTCATCATCAAACAAATGATGAGCATAGATCACTTACAATCTCATTAGAGCATGCCAAAAACTACCCTGTGGGTGATTACAAACTTCCTATGAAATCAACAAAAAGTTCTATATCCCCCATCATATCTTGTTTACACCAAAAATACAAAAGGCTAAGGCAATTCACTCTAATCTTCTGGATGTTGTTTCTCTTATCCACAAATCATCATGCATTTCTTTCTTTCCACAGAGCACACCAAATGCAGGCTGGGATTAACTCCCACCAACCAGTTTCTGTCATCTTCTAGCAATATATAATTAGGTCCCACCATCAGACACTCCACCTTGGGTCCATCAACTATAAATTCCATGAGGGTTGAGAAGAAATACAATGAATTCTAAAGAGGAGGAATTTAGGTTAAAGTGTTCTAAAATCTTAACCTGTTAGTACTTACATGTAGTAAGCAATTAGACAATCAAAATGGAACACTGCACCAGCTGCTATTTGGAGAACTGTTTGGATTGAGAGAAGTAGAAGATGTTTTCAAGACATGGAAAACAACAATCAGAAGATAAAATCCCAAATGTACACCTTTGTTTTCTTTTGTAGTGTAAAATGCAACAAATGGATGAGGCTGAATCTATTCTAGATGTGATTAGAATCACTACAGGTCTAGAAGGGTTAGATTTTGGCTAAGTTTCTTTTTTGCTGCGGATGTACAGATTTTAAAAAGAAAAGGACAATCGAATTGGTTTTGCATGTAAGTAGAAAATTTTCTTAAATATGCGAAACATAAACTTGTTTAATGAGCATAACTCACTGCTTTTCTTAAAAATTGTTTCCAGTCGCTTCAAATTTGTCCACCTTGTGTAGTAGAGGTTTGTATGGAGAGTACAGATCAGCTGTTTACATTATAACTTCTGATGTACGACTACAACCCACATACTTTAACTTGCCTTTCTCCCATCCAACCAAAAATTGGTAATTACAGAGATTGGAGCAATAAAAAGAGGGATAGAGTTTAAAGAGTATACCAAATCATAGTTACGCCTATTTTTAATTTTAAATAGCATTAGCCCAACTGATAAATCTCTCTCTCTCTCTCAGTAGTGTTGAAAACCATGAGTTCATGATCTGTTTGTGGTTATAGCCGTCTATGGTCTTTCAGCAAAATATATGAAATCTGAATCTTATGAGATAGTGAGCTTCATAATTAGAATTGATGGTCAATTTCAGAAAGAGACAATCCTTGCTGAATGATAATTAAAATGATGAATTTAACACGTGAGGCGATATCTATTTCCTATTTGCTTGCACTTTTGTTTTTCTTTCTAATAATCATCTGTTAACCAATTTGGTAGGGTCATATTTGAATATCATCAAGAGAACGGTAAAGTTCATGTGCCCAGCAGATCTCATCCCTCCCTACATTGATGTCGACTTAAGTGAGTTGGATGTTAACCAAAAGTTGCTAATGGGCGACCTGAGGGTTCATCCAGCTTTGAAGCTTATCCAATCAAAGGATCATCCTGTTGTCAAGATTGCTGGAGCAAGAGTTTCTGATCAAAAGAAATCGAAATAATTTTTGTTGAAGCACTTGTCTGGAAATCTTAGCAAGCTTATTATGGAACAGAGGATTAATTCCACAGCTTGGGACATTGGCATTGCCAGCTGATGTAATTTACTGGACGATCGATCTTGTTCATTTGTGCTAGTTAAAATAGGGTGACTAGGTGATAGCTATCTCAATTTTGGAATCAGTAGCTGAATTGTACAACAGATTGCTAATATCCCCAATAATTTTTCTATACTGGGCTGTGAAATTTCAAATCATGACGACGTTCTCTGCCTATTTGCAGAATATCAACTTTATCTTTGAAATACTTTCTGGTGATTCTTGCAAAGAACCTTTCATTGTTAAAGATGGACAAATAGTCTTCAAATTTGTCAGACAAGTCTTACATATTGCCAAGGGTGAAGTGCACAAATACTTTATATTTAAAGAATAGTTGAAATTTACGATGTTTTTAAAATTTAACCGTATCAGAATTACAAACATGCACAAATACAAACGTGAACAGGTTGGTCTGAAGTGGTGCACTTCCCTTTTATTACACGATTTTATATGGGGTAAATTTCTCAAAAGATCACTTAATCATGTGAAATTATTTAGTAAGCTTAATTAACTTATTTTCGTATTAATAAAATCACTCATCTTACGAATTCACTTTAGCTTTCCAATCACCAAAAATATAACTCGTCATGGGTTTTAAAATAACAAAAAAATAAAATGACCCATTACTATTCAAGTAATTTATTTTAAAAGCATGGCAAATTATGTTTATGGAGATTGGAAAGTTAAAAGTGATTTTGTAAGAGAAAATTTAATAAATTGAGGGATTTTATTAATATAAAAATAAATTAAGTGAATTTATTTAATTTCACATAATTGAGATTATTTGAAAAATATATTTAAGTTATCACTTACCAAAGTTATTTATTAGTTTAGCTACTAAAATTAAAGCATATATTATTATTTTTCCTCCCCTAACTCAAATGTTGGTAAGTCCACCATTCACCAATGCTTAAAGTTTTGCAACAAGATTAACAACTCATGATTTTATGAAAAGAAACAGGGAAGAAAACATAAAACAGACTCATCATTTTATTTGAAAAACTTAAAATAGTTAACTTAAGTATTTGATCTAGATGATGGATCAATTAGTAGAGTTACAACAATAATATACCAGTGTACACTGTACACAATTTTACTTTCACCTTCTAAATGTAGATAGGCTATTTCCGATTGAACCCTCTATTTATGTAATGTATCAAAATCAAGTGTAAATATATATAGATATATATATAATAGCAACGTCAAACAATACAAAGACTAAAAAAGAAACGACAAGTAATAAAAAAGTTGAAGTCAAAGATAATAGGAAAGTAATAATAACAATAGAATATAAGAGAACTCAACTATCTACTAACCTTTTATCCTAATTCTTGACCCCCATACCCTCTTATCTAAGGTCCTATCCTTATTAAACTGCAAGTGAATCTTATCTTGTCTAATCAGCTCTTCCCAATACTTCTTCAACCTACCTACATGTCCTCATACTCACCATAATCAACCTCACTGGGCATCTATCCGCATCTCCTCTTCACATGCCAGAATCATCTCAGTATCGCCTCCCTTATCTTCGTTCTTATTCTTATCTCTCCTACTATGTCTTAATATCTATCTCAACATCCTTATTCCCGCTACCTTTATTTTCTGATTGTGCGAGTTCTTGAGTTACATTTCTAATTTGAAAAATATAGATTGAAAACAAATAAAATAGGAAAAGTAATTTTCTTGTCATTCTATTATTTGCTACATATGCAAAGTTAATTTTCTTAAAAATATATAAAGCAACGCAACTCTTAGGATCAAATATTCGAGAAAATCAGATAAATATTAATCAACAAAATATTAAATCAAGAAAAATAAGCTAAGTGTTATTAATACACCATAAAACTTTGAAAAACAAGTCTCTCTTCTAATGAGACCCAAATTTTAACTTTGTTGAAGGTTAATTTGATTTTGCTTTTCACATTTTAGATTTTTCCATCCTCTTCCTGCTTCAAACTTTTGTTTTTGTTTTCTTCACAGTTTTATTCTTTAACGTTATTCTTTTTTTTTTTCTTTTGTTCTTACCAATTTATTACAACTTTCGTTCAGAATAATAGTTGTTTATTTGAACTTATTTATAGTTCTAATGAATTTAATTAGTAAATATCCATTTATTTCCTTTTGATCTGATTATGAAAAATTGTGATAGCTTTCAAAATTGTCTTTTGAATATTCATTATTAATCTTAATATTTTTGAAATATAATCTATATTACCTTAAAAGCATGAACTCCTAACTTAAATGTTAAATTACTATTATATCCCTAACTTAGGTTGTGACTTTTTCGATGAGTTGTGACTTTTCTGATAAGTTGTGATCTTTTTTGAAGGGTTGTGATTTTTCGATGAGTTGTGACTTTTCCAATGAATTTTGACTTTTTCAATAAGTTGTGACTTTTCCAAAGGGTTGTGACTTCTCAAAAGGTCATGACTTTTACGATAAGACACAAAAATACTTGTTCATACCACCCTTTGTTGACTATAAATAGAGGGACTTCCTCTCATTTTTTTCAACCACAATTTTTTTTAATCTTCTACTCTTATTCTTCTTCTTGCATTTTAAAAGATTTCATGAGATTTATTGTCATTGAGTTAGTTCGAATAAGGTTGTAAGTGATTCATTTGCTTTTTGTATAAGTTGATTACTGTCGAGTTTGTGAGTGGAAAGAAAGATTTCTTTTTGGTGAAAAAACAAAATGTACATTTTCGTCGGTGTATTACTTGTGTCATTAGTTGTATGACAGCCTGGTGCTGCCTTTTCTGCAATAATATATCATATCAAAATTAAATCAATTGTTAATAGTGGTCCATTTGTAACTTGCTAAGTACATGGTTGTGGTGTTAACTCCCCTTTAATGATATGTTTCAATGTTCTACCAACAATAGAAGAATTAAGCAAAAAGAGGAGAAATTTTATTATGGGGATTACAGGAAATGTATCTATCCTTTTTCTTCACTCAATATTTCTCTGGTGTATCTACGTTGCATTTTGTACCTTCACATTTTCTCTTCTTTTTTAATTGTTTGTGAAGGAACACACCGTCATTATTATTGTCAAAATGTGGTTGTCTTTACCTCCCCTTTTCATAGTGATCTTTGATAGTTGAGTAAGTTGCCTTGTTTTGTTTCCTCAGAGTTGTTGACTGATGAACTTCTAGATTGGCACTACCGAAAGGCCATCAATTTGCATAATATATACATTAGTATGTAATGTTCCAATATATAAAGTTAACATGATGTAGTCTCATTTTGTTTTTTTTAACAATTTCTCATTTGATGTACGTAAATATATGCCTTTGAACATATTTTTTCAAAATTATTAAACTTCTCAAGAGTTAGAGAATGGTCACAATTTGTTCTTTTGATCTTCAAGACAAAATAATGACTTTATTTATCAATGTGATTTAGAATGTTAGGAAGTTTGCTTCAAAATAGTTATTACTATATAAACATTGCCTTTTTGTTTTACTTATTTACTACTTCTTAATATTACAGTATTTTAGACGAAGAAAAACTCATATATATATATATATATATATATATATATATATATATAGGTAGGTATTTGTATTTAAATTAAAGTTTTATATATATCACAAATGTACTATCAAGTTAACAAGATCTTCTAACTTTAAAATATATTATTTAATTCTAACTTCAAAATATATTATTTTAAATTAGTTCTAAAAAATAAAATGTAGTTGTTCTCTTCACATGTTCATATGACATTTGAACAGTTTAATGTGAAATACACGTGCAAACACATCTGGTTAAATGACAAGAAAAATACACAACAAATATCGTCTATAAGGTAATATTATTGAGATACGGCCAATTACATGATTGAACCTTAGCAAATTGAAATAAATATATGCATTTAGTTAATAAAAATTTTCATTGACCATCTTCATAGGTTCGCGTGAATAAGAGATATATATAATGATCCACATTGAACATTCACAAAAAAATCTGCAATATTATTTTGTGCAAAGCTTATAATTCAAATATTCACTTAAATAAACAATACTATTTACTATAATATATATCTTCTGAATTGGTAATCACGTGCAACGCACGTGTCGAAAAATTAGTATAGATAAAGATAGCAACACCATATAATATGGAAATTTTTTTTACAAAAGCGAACTATTGTATCTAACAAAAGAAATATTGAAATAGAATTATGATTTTTCATTAAGTTGTCTGATTAATATATACAATTTTCATTTTTTCTTTACTAGTTTCTTTATCATTTATCTTCTAGTTTAATTCATTAGAATCAAAATGAGATATTAATCTTCTCAATAAATTGAACAAACCTCAATTTTTTGATCATTTGCAAATATATATAAATAAATGTATTACTATAATAATTGAATTAATTACGATCCATTTAAATATACTTGTTATTATCGTTTTGGGCTAGTCATACATTTACTAAACATCAAATATTTTTCAATTTGACTATTGTGAGTAAACAATACAAAATTACATCTGAAAATATTCACCCTCGATCCACGAACTATACATACATACATGTCCAAAAATCTTGCATGTTGAGCTAAATGTTTTTGACGTCTTCTTTTCAACTCTTTCAATATTTCTTATTCCTTTTTTTGCTCGTGTCTGATATCCGCATTGGAGTCTGACTAATTTGGATTCACGTTAGGTAGAACCCCATTTAGGGGTAGCGCTCTCTACTAAGGATTTTTCCATGCTTAGGGTTCGAACTTGAGACTTCTGATTAGAAAATGAATAGTCTCATTCACTGCACCACATCCTTTGATAGTATGTTTGACGAGATTAAAGATTCACTTGATAAGTGTCACAATCGTCTAGTGTCAATCACGACTGTTCAACCTAATTTCTGCCTGATCAAAATTTATTATTATTAAGCAATATCGTATAATTGCACAATATAAGATCACGTTGGTCACTCAAAGTAATGTTTATTATTAAGCTATATAAGATTTACATAACATAAAATTACACAGGCAACTCAGAGTTTTCCTGCATGAACGTTTATTATTAGTATATATTATAATATCATATAGTTAAACAACATGTATAAGATCACACCGTACAACTCAGTGTTTCATGCATGGAAGTTTATTATTATTATCAAGCTATATGTCTATATATATTAAAGTTAGGCAAAAGAAAAATAACATTCCCCAACAAAACAAAAATTTTCTTTT